CCAAGCTCTGTTTGCCTACATAGTGACTCACCTCACATGCTTCAGATCAGCTTCTTTTGAGGAGAGGAGGTGTGATACAGGTCCCACTGCCATGCTGAAGATGACACTCTGTTATGCTTGCAAGACAGGTCTTAATTACAAAGTGAAAATTGTTATTTCGTGCTAAAGTGCTGGGACAAGATAAATGAAAACAGAGGAAATATTCAGTAACTGCTGAAAAGGACACACAACACCCATACACAAGGAGATGTCTCATTAATTACTTGCTTTAGTCCCCTTTGGGCTCAGAACACAGCAGCAATAGAATTACTTTTGTTAGCAGCTGTGGGCTCTGTTTTGACTGAGATACGTATTTTCTCTTTATACTTTACTGTTTTTTGGCGTGTTTCTTTTTGGTGTGGGAATTAATTGCCTACAATTTACCTAGAGCCTGTACTTAATTCACATGTCAATCATTCATGTTTCGTGATGTTTCAAAGACAGCAGCAGAAATGAGGACTACTAAGAACAGAGCAATCCTTTCAACATACGAAGAGTCATTCAGGACTAGAGTTGTTAAAAGCCGGCCCAACAAGGTATGTGATATTCAGCAACTGAATGCCACGCAAAAAAACCAGTACACTTGAAGCAGTAGTTGTCACTGGACTGAATTCCAGAGAAAATCTCTCCTCATAGAGACCAGCTTTTTCGTTCTGTTTTACTTGTCCAATATTTTCTATTGCAAATCTTGAAGAAATCTCAGAAAAAAATAATAGAAGCTAGTGAGGGACTAAGATGTTGTAAAGCAGTGTTTTTTCCACAAATAAAGCATAGGTGCTTCAGAGTGACAAGGGGCCCTAACTTGTGACATCACCTCCTAAACCCAGTCAAAATGTTTGAAAGATATTGTAGTCCTAGAGACTTGTCTCAGAACTGCTTCTTGTAAATGGAGTTTGTTACTCCACTAAAAACAGCTTAGCCCTAAGAATCATCTACATCCATACCTTTTGCCTGGGAGGGAGTGTCAGGAGGGAGCATGAGTAATTGCAGTGGCTCTGGAGCTAGGGCCCAGAATGCAGGGTTGCCTGCGCTGTCCTCTTGCTCCTTCCCACCTCATTCCCAAAAATAATGGAACACGAGACAGAGTAATTTGGTCACCTCTCCATCGTGCTTTGTCACCGCTACCCATGATCTTAGCAGTTTATATTTATCCAAGGAGAGAGGAGGTGGAACAAACAGAAGGAAAGATGGAGGAGTGGATGAGAAACTAACAATTCCTGAAACTGTAGAACCTGGCAGGCTTTGGTTTTATGGCATCATGGTGGATGACTGCACAATGTAGAGCTGGCTTCTGTTGTTAGCAAAACTATCAGCAATTTTCCATCCAGCTGGGAAAGATTTTCTGTTAATGCACATCATGATTTTAATAGCATGTGTGTAGGTGGTGAAGAATTGAATTTTTTTAAAACTTTATAATCAAGGTGAGAGGAGGCAGGCACAGCACATGAGAGAACCATGCGGTGTCAACTCATCTATTATCCCCCAGGTCACACCTGCAGATCTTTCCCACCTCCCCCCTACTGACTGGTCTTAAAGTTGAGAAATGTACCCTGCTCTGAGCACTTGGCTTTTTTTATTTATTTATTGTAAAAGCTTAGCTAAAGGTGGAGAAGAAGGATCATTGAGTTTATCTGTTAATCTCAGAGGTTAAAAGTGATTGCTCACACTTTGTATCCAAAAAAAATATCTACATGCAGCCATATATATATGTCAAGTGTGCCTGTGGAAAGGAATCTGAGCAGTGTTTGCTTAGTACAAGATGAAGAGGAATGTGCAAAAAAGCAAAATCCAACAAGACAAGGCAATTAGTAATTTTCCCGTTAATACATGTAAATGCAATATAAAACTTGAGCTTTGCACTCTGGTGACTTGGGTTTAAAGCACAGCCTGCTTCATCTTCACAAGAATGTTTTCACTCTCCTCTAATGACAGGGACACCAGCGCCATTGATGCTTTTTGTTGCGCTTTGCCCAGTGGCTGCTGGAAGGGGCCACCTCCCCTGCACTGGCCATGCACTCCTGCGACTCCCCTGCATTAGCTCTAAGCTCCAGAGGTTGTGCAAAGGGAGGGCAAGCTGAGTGAACAAGCTGATCTGCCAGAAAACTTAAAAAGCCAAAAAGCAAATAGTTCCAGCACATTGATCTGCCTTACACGTGACCTCACAAGGTCTGGTACAAGGGATGCAGCAGGCAGGGGAGGCAAGGAAGAGATGGCTGGTGTAATGTCAGAGTAAGTTAGGCCACGACTGACTTGATGCTCAGAGCAGTAGTCTTGTTGTTTGGGGCTCTTTTCCTCTTTATAAAGTAAAGAGAAGATTGATTGAAAATTCCTGCGGTTGGCCTGGTGCCAGTCCCATACATAGTATAAAATCAGCCCTGTTCTAAGTTGCTGGCCCACAAATGTGTATTCCACTGTACTCACCAACTGGGAAGGACAGAGAGCCACTCATCACACTGACAGTCCACTGTACATCTTCAAATACAGCACATCATATACTGTCTCCAAGGATGGCACGGCATCCTGGTTTCTGTGCTTCTGCTTCAGCCGCATTTGGTTAGGATGCCATAAATTCTCCAACTCCTTCAATGTGGCTTTTATGTCTGAAATGTTTTGTGGTTGTTTCATAGCCTTGGCCCTAAAACTCTTATTTCCTCTACAGGTTCCCTGAGGGTAATTTCATCCACCCAGATTCAACAAGCATCACTATACTGACAAACATAGTACTGACTGGTGTCACTCTCCTGTCCAAACTAACATCTCAGCTTTCGTCTGACATAATTTTAGGGCTAGCTAGCTGTCAAATTCAATTCAGTATGGCCAAAACAGAAAGCTGATTTTGACTTTTCCCCTCCTCCCCTCCCTTATGTTTTTTCCCCTCCTTCTCTATTACTCCCTCTTCTCCCCCCCAAAACATTGAAAACTTATGGCTTCCTCCTAACATCAATATCTAGTTTGAATCAGCTTTCTCACACATCTATCACCCCAGTTACATTCAAGGCTTGCTGCCTCCCATTGCATATTATTCTAAAATCCCCCCTGTCCTGTTCATTGACTCAACTACATCTCCCAAATGCAATCAGTTTATCAGCTCCTCTTTCTAATAACCTAGTGAGAATAGAAATTTTATTGGATTATTACCACACTAGTATCTTTCTCCTGACCAGAGCAGATTGTATGGCAAAAGAAGAAAGTGTAGCCCAAAGAAGACATTTCCAAAGACATTTGTGATGCACCCATTAAAAAAAGCACAAGAGCATCATGCTTCAGGAATTCTGTATCTCTGAGTTTACGCCAGGCAAAAGCCAAGACTCGGTATGTTTTTATACTCGAGGTTGTCAAAGCTTACTTAAAATTAATACAATATTTTTATCTCAGCATGAGGTTGTAAATATAGTGTTCTGTATTCATAAGTGATTTTAATGTAGTATCAGAAAGACTGTGATATAGAGCCTTACCTATCTACCAGTATTTTACATGCAATCATTCCTAGAAGTTGGGAAAACTTCAAAAGCAAGTTGAAGTCAGCTTAATTTGGCTACCTTTCCAGAGGTAAAAGAGTGTCTAAATAAAGTATAATGACCCCTTTCTTCCAGGAATGATTTTCGTGAGGTAGGATTCCCCCTGAGCTCAGTGAACAGTCTTTGGGGATTTCCTTGCTGGATGAGTCTAGTGTGGAGGCTGTGTGAGCAAATGCCTTAGAGGAAGTGAGAACAGAATAGCTGCTTAAGAAGATTAATGACTGGATTCCTTAAAGCTAGCTTATGGGAAAGGTGATCTCTTATGTGCGAGCCAAAGACAATTAATTAAAATGGGTCAATTAGCCTGTCAAATACAAATGTATCCAGAGTTCAAGCTTTTATGTATTTACACCAGAAACTGTAAAATCAAGGGAGAAGGAAGACCTTTTTGAATCCTACAGGGCAGAAGATGAATATGAGTTGGTGAAGAGGTAGAATACTTGCCTCAGCCTCCACCAACCCCACACCTGTGAATGGGTAAATGATGTTGGGTCCTGCCACTGGTGTACACCAGCAACTGTCCGCATCTGCAGCATCCTTCAGTGTAACAGAGCCAGAACAAACTATAGAGATAGAAAAACGTGCAAGTTAACACTTGGATGCCAAGTGCCCACCAAAGCCACTCTGCCACTCCCGTCCTCAATTGGACAGGGAAGAGAAAATATAATGAAAGCTCATGAGTTGAGATAAGGGGTGAGGTCACTCGCTGATTACTGTCATGGGCAAAGCAGTCTTCATTTGGAGAAATTGATTTAATTTATTACCAATCAAATCAGAACAGGATAACGGGAAGTAAAACAAATCTCCAGCAGCACAAGGAGACAGGGATGGGGGTTACAGTCAGTTCATCACATGTTTTGCTGCTGCTTCCTCCTCAGGGAGAAGAGTCCTTTCCCTGCTCCATTGCAGGGTTCATCCCACAGAAGACAGTTCTCCCAAACTTCACCAGCATGAGTCCTTCCACAGGCAACAGTTTGTCACAAACTGCTCCAGCACAGGTAGCTTTCCATGGGGTGCAGTCCCTCAGGAACAGACTGTTCCAGCCTTGGTCTCCCACAGGGTCTTGCCAGAAAACTTGTTCCAGTGTGGGCTCCATTCTCCACAGGTCCACAGGTCCTGCCAGGAGCCTGCTCCAGCATGGGCTTCCCATGGGGCCACAACCTTCTTCAGGCATCCACCTGCTCTGGTGTGGGGTCCTCCATGGGCTGCAGGTAAATCTCTGCTCCCCCATGGACCTCCACAGGCTGCAAGGGGACAACCTGCCTCAGCATGTTCTTCACCTGGAGCACCTCCTCCCCTTCCTTCCTCACTGACCTTGGTGTCAGAGCTGTTTTCTCTCACATATTCTAACTTCTCTCTTCTCTGGCTGCAATTGCTTCTGCCCAATGACTTTTTTCCCTTCTTAAATAAGTTATCACAGAGGTGTGATGGGCTCAGCCCTGGCCAGCAGTGGGTCTGTCCTGGAGCTGGCTGGCTTTGGCTCTCTTGGCCATGGAGGAAGCTTCTGGCAGCTTCTCAAAGAAGCCTCTCCTGTAGCCCCCACCCCCGCTACCAAAATCTTGCCACGCAAACCCAATACAACACTGAATAAAAACCCATTTCTGAGGTGGAGTCAAATTCCAGCTATATAAGCAAAGAGGGAACTGTAAGGAACTAGAGTATTTTTTTTTCTTCTAAGTGTGGCATCAGTAGCATCAGAATATAAAAACCCAAAAACATTGAAGATGCAGAACAGATTGAATTTCAGCACAGATCTCTGGAAAGAAAAGACAAACCCACCTTGACAGAATCAGTTTTGGTGAGTCTGAACTAAATGCAGTGATGAAAATACTAAGTCAGTCAGTTATGTGACATATTTTAAAGAATAGGCTGATGAGAACTAGAAACCACCTTTGTTCTATCAATCACTTGAAATGCATTTCCTTCCAAATGTGTCTAGAATCTGCACAAGCATCAGTGTATGTAAATTCAGAGATGAAAGCAATAATTCATACTGGTAGGAAAGCATAAGGCATTTCTAAGTATGAATGCCAATCATTCTCCATAGGTTATGTTGCTGAGCAATGAATAGGATGTGAACCTGATAAAAACTGAACATTTCAGAAGGCACACAATCCATAAAATGTTCAAAATGAGGGAGGACTTTGGGTATACAACTTGCCTGTAAGCACACAGAGGTTAAGCCAAGAATGGAAAAATTAGACATGTCTCCCCTTGGTTTTTAAAAAAATCCTGGGATCACAATGAAATGGTCAGAATCTGTGCTGTCTGGGGGACAAAAGGCTTTGATGAATCACTCAAACTCGTACAGCCCAGGCAGCTATGCAAACTTAAATACCAAATAAATTACTACTTGTATCTGCTATACATACTTACCTTCAAACTTGCCAACAGGTGAAACAAATTACTAAAATACATGACAAATGAGGGAAAGGTAGAATACTTTAGTTTAGCTGTGTGTTATTTAATAACTGCCAGATTCTTAGTGTTATCCTTTAGACCAGGATTTATAGACTTATTTACTTTACAGAGATGAGAAAATAATTCTCAAAAATACGGAAAACTGAATTCTATTAGGAAGAAACTGTCAAAATGCTCCATATAATTTATCAGTTTGAACACTTTCCAAATGATAGAGCCAAAGATTAAAAGTGATTTTCCTTGTGGACAGAGATGAGCATGATGTGACGTACACGAGTGGGCTATGCAATTACTTGCTAGTCACTCAGTAGAACAATAGACAGAATGACTTTTTAATTCTTTTCCTGGATTTGGGCAATAAAGAATGGGTTTATGGCACAATTGGGATAAAAGAGCACATCCATCTGGTGTATCCCACCTAGAAGGCAGTGGGTCTGCCTGAGAGAGACTTACATTTGCAACATGGGACATGGTCTCTACCAGGTATTTCAGAAAACTCCTCCTGCACCTTCTTGGGAAACTCATTTGGTTCAATGGTCATCCCACAAAACTTGAGATGTCAAACAGCTGTGATTTATTCTCCACTGATAAAGGCATCAAACCTCTACAAAGGACAGGAGTGAAAGTCAGTGACAGCTATTTTGGACTAGTTTGAGTCAATGAGAAGACTGAACAAATATGACAGGTTTAAAAGATGATTCTAGTAGAAATAAAATGCAAGCAACATTTGGAAAAAACAATTCTGATGTTTCCAAAGCAAACATTTCCTATTTTAAATTACATTTAGATATTTATTTTAATAAATTTATATTATATATTAATAGATATATTAACATAGTTTTGGGCTTCTGAACTGGAAAACAAATTATTCCAGGCACTCTAAATAGGATATACTGTTTATACACTGAAGACTTACACCCAAATCTGAGGTAGATAGTAGGTGTTCTCATTTCCTTTGGGCTTGAAGAAATGGCCATTTATAGGATTATACACACACAAATTGCAAAGGGACAAACTTTATGTTCAGCATTACGTTGCAGATCAGCATGGCCCTAACTTCTTAGCCGGAAAAGCACTCTGCAAATATCCACTGCCTGAAGGATGGAGATGGGACAGCAAGGACTCAAAGCCCCTGAGACAACTCAATCCAATCCAATACAGGCACTACATACCAAATTCCTATTTGATATATCACATTGGCATAAAGAAAATCCCTGACTGAGAGACAGAACAAGGGCTGAAGAATAATACAGCTGTCATTCCTGGCATGAAGAAACATTTTTTAAACTTCTAGGTCTGATTGGATTTTTACTGCTGACATTTCTGCCAGACTTCCTTTCAACAAAGCATCGAGACTAGGATGGAATATTTCATAGGATACTTGCAGAGGAGACAGAATGGTCTCATCTGCCTTCACTTTGCTCTTAAATTAAGATTAAAGGGGGGAAAAGGAACAATGGAGGGAGGGGGAAAGGAAGGCATAAAAGCCATTGCAGTGATCAAATTCACTCACAGACTAGCTCAGCCTGACACAATTCTTAGACAGCTGATTAGGTAGTTTTCAGTCTTTCTGCAATGAGGGATCTGGCTGTGGTCAGGATGTGGCCCTGATCTGGGAAATGGTTCGTGGGGGATGGTTCCACAGAGTATTAGCGAGATTTTCTTCATAGACTTCGTAAGAGGGTTGAAAGTCAGACTGCAGGCAGCATTTGTTCCCTGGAGTCTTCTGATGAGGCTGTTTATTATAAAGTATTGCTTAGTCGAGAAGAGACAAGTGTATTGGTCTTGCAGGTCAACAGTAATGTATTTGCAGAACGTATCAGTTGTTAAAAATGAAAGATGCAGACATAACACTGAATGCTCTTCATGACAAAAGGATTGAAATACTAGAACGTGGGATCCATTTTCCCTTTGCTCTTCTTTTCTCTCTCTGCTTTAATCTTTCCAACTATTGTTTTATGCAAATATCTACACTATTTAAGGCCATCTATATGAAAGGTCAGTCACCTGCTTTTGAACAAAGGTTATAACAGGTCTAGACTTTTCTATGAGGATTTTTTTGCACAGAGGCCAAGGATGTGATATCTGATATTTTGTGAACTGACACATTATATTTTTGGTTCCTATGATTCATCAAACTACTTTGAGTGAATGGACCTTTTTACCCTATAATTTAAACTGAAGGATATTGAAGGGCAACTGAAATTTTCCCCAGCTAAAAAGAAGTCTCTTTTCTGTGAGTATTAGAAGAAACCTGCTCAAAAATGCAAACTGTGCTGATGGCTTTTCTATAGAGCAAGTGCAGACTCATTAAATGTATTCTTTTTTTCTTTCTAACTCCTTATGCTCTTCTTCTAATTGAATATGAATTCAAAGATTATGTTTCAAACTTGCAAGGCTGTGTGGGTTGGAAAGCAACCGAGACAAGTATCCCCATCCTAACTGAGACCTTTGTTAGTACAGAATCTAGTAAAACAAGCTAACAATTTGGAATACGTTGGCTGTCACTTCAAATGTCAGTGATAATTTGCAAAACATTCAGAGCAATAATGGGAAAAGGCACAAAACGTCAAATTTGTAGCAAAGCTGACAACAAAAAGAATATTCACTGTGAATTACAGTCTTCCTGACTTGCTAAAGCTCCTACTGATTCTGCTTTAATAAAGGATATTCTTCTTTCAAGGGATTTAGATACAGTAGATTGTCTAACATGCTTAACTGATGCTTGAAGTTCTTTGTCTGAAAGCTTATCCTTGATGACTTGGAAATCTGTGGTCTCTTGCTGATATTTTTGGGAGGGTAATTGGTCAGTTTGTGATCTGGCTATATATTACCTGGATAGGTATACACTTGGTCAAGGACCCCACCATTTCTTTCTACAGGCTATCCCATTTTCACAGATTTTTTTTTTTGGAAAGCTGTTCTGAGAACTAATAACAACTGTCTTTGGAAAGGCATTGGCTCCTGCTGTTTTGCATCTACTAGAGAAGACGAAAATGTTCAGAATGAAAAATATTAACAAAAAATTCAGAAAAGGTATATATTGGTCAGACATATGCTTGATGGAAATTAAAGGTTCAGAGTAGGAGAATAACAAGTCTGCTTTCTGACAATCTGTACCGCTTACTAAAAATATTTCACTGAACCATTGCACCTTTAGATACATCGAATGTGGACAGGCTGGATTGCAAACCTGGGTCATTAGAAGTTCAAATAGCCTGGCTCACAGCAGGACCTGGGAAAGCCAGACAGTTTTGTCTAATCCTTAGTGAAGGAGTAAGAGGGGAAAGAGATAGCTAAGCTATGTGATAGACAGGGATCTATAAAATGAAGTATTAAGAAAAGGGATTAAGAGCAAGAACTAGAAAACTGTGCATAGAATACAATGCAAATTGGATGCAGAGAGAATACCAAAAAGCCAGTTAGAGAACTACAATAAAGGCTGAAAAGAAAACTGTGGCGACATGGTACATGGCATATATTTACTACCTTAGTAGTTACTAAGTCTCTTAGTAACTTAGTAACTCTCCAGTTTTGTGTCCCAGGCAAGGCCCCACATTGTCTTGACTAGAACCCAAGTTATCTTGATTTGACATCCCAGAGTTCTTCATACTTGCTACTGTAAAGATAGAGAAGATGATTGCTGTGCAGATAGTAATCACTGAGGCTTTAGCTCCTCCATGGCTTCTGTTACAGCTTGTAACCCACAATCTGTTAGAAAAAGACCCCTGCTTCCAGAGCAACCAAATCTAGGTTGAGTCCCACCTAAGCCTCGGGAGAACCCTCTGCAAAAAAAATGCATTCCTCTAATGCAGCAGGACAGCCTGTACAGACTAGTCCAAATTCTTTGCCCCAACTGCTGTTCGGGTGACTTGTGACAGTTCTTCACTGAGATACACAGCCCCTCCTGGATAGGGCACGTATTTGTACTGTAACTCAATAGGCCACCATTGTGATGAATTTATACTGTATGTCTGAGCCAAACCAGATTTAACAAAAGCCAGGCCACCCTCATTGCTCTGTCCAGGCCTATAGCTCTGCCTTTCTTTGCACTGGCTCTGGGGCTTGTCTGACCCTGTGCGGAGTTAATCCAGCTCATTAACCCAAAATAAAACTATTGACTTTCCTAGCAAATTAATGCATTGCTGAAGGGACAAAAAACCCTCAAGGGCTCAATTGGATGCAGGATTTTCCTTTTCAACACCAATGAGAACGGATCACCCAAGCTGAAACAGATAACTACTTTACACCTGTACTTGGCCTACTGTGCAAAATGGAGTTCTTATTACAAAACTACATTCTCAGTTTTGTACAGACACATCCTACAGCTTCTTCATTAAGAAATCTGGTCTCTGAGCATGCATAAAAGATCTAATTTTTATGGTAAATATTTCTATCCTGTACTTGTGAAGAGAAAAAAAAAGGATTATGTATTAATATTACATGAGGATGAGGAATTAGCTTTTTATCCATTGACACCTATGTAGGATGAAAATGGCACTGCTGTTTTTCAATCAGCAGTCTCTGTGGCACCTGAGTACTGAAAGATCCTAACAGAATAGGAGGCTTCCAGCCTTCTAATGTTATTTTTTAACAGCTCTCTTTACAGCTAATAATTCAAAGGGCCAAAGGAAACCTCATGTTATTCCAAGAATCAAGCAGAATGACCAAGGTAATAATAGATCTGGCATTCTAGGTAATCCTAGACAATACAGTGATGTTATGTGAATTAAAGCAGTCATGCTATGTGTGATTGAATCAATAAGGGGTTAAAGGTAGGAATATAATGAAAGCAAACCCGCATGGCTTTGTGGAAACAAGTCTTGACAAGCAGGCCTGACTTCAATTTTTTATGAGATTACAGGTTTGTTTGATCAAGGTAACCACATGGATGTGATAGACTTGGACCTTCCTAATGAATCTGATTTAGTAGTGCTTGACATTTTGATTAAAACATTAGCATTATATAGCCTTAATAAAACACATTAAATAGATTAAGATCTGGCTAATTGATAGAGTTCAGCAAGCTGTTCTAACCAGATACTCAGCACTGACTGGGGATATTTTTAGTGGGGCTCTGCAGGCAGGAACACTATGCTTACTGCCATTCGATGTTCTGGAATTACACAGAGACATGGGTAATATTGGCAAATGTCCCGCAGTGTAATGAGGAATGGGGAGCTATGGAAAGTCACAGTTTTGCCTGCATTGGCATAAATGTGTTTCTGGTATCTGATTTCATACTTTTTCTTTCGTTCTGTATAAGCACAGAGGTTCTCTTGCAGGGTATAGTTGCAGGGCTGTGGTCTAGTCAGCCGCTGATGGGTATACAATGATTTCTCTCGAGGGTCATTGATTTTATCTACTAATTCATGTGTTGTTGAAGGGAGTTGTATGAATCATTTTAAAAGCGTGAGCTGTGAAACCACCCCTTATTGCACACTTCTGCATGTCTTTTTTTTTTTTTTTCTAAACTACCAAGAATATAACCTGAGATTTAAATATGTTTGAAGCTTTAAAAAGTCAGGAAATTCTAGTCCATGGGCTGAAGAAGGATTGCTATAAAAAAAATAAACCAAGAAAGCCAGATGAGGTAAGCAAAAAAAACCTAAAGAGAACTAAACAACTTCAGTGATCAGTCATGTACATAACATATATAATCTCTACTACTATCACCTTCTGGTCATCTGATCTATGCACATCTTTCTCATTCTTCATTTTCTTGGTCAGTTCTTGAATCAGATTGAGGTTAGATAACACTGAATTAATATTACTCTCCTTTGCTAGATTTGATTCTGACCAGTCTTGTTATACTGCTACACGTAATCACAAGCTTACTTAAGCAAAAATCAAAATGAGAATTCATACGAATTTTTATGGTGTAGAATGTTAAAGATGCTCTTTCTCAGCAAAATCTTTGTAGCAAACTGTTGCCCTTTTAACATTTGGTTTGGTTTCTGTTTGACCTTGCAGAACAAGATGACTGATAAATATAAAAGATACTATCCAGGAGAATATATTTTCCTCTTACTATCTAAAATACAGATTCAGAGACAGATTTTCCACAATGCATTAGGATGTTATTTAACTTGGTTTATATCAATTTAACATCTAAAATCTTTTCACATTTTCATAATTTTACCAACTTGTGTTAAAACTCTTGGTGGCAAATCTATGCAGTCTCAGAAGCGCCCTATGAAACATCAATACCATCTAAACCAGCACAAGCCAGCAAGTGGATGCCTCATCTATCTACTGCTTGTTTCTCCACTAAAAAAAAGCAAATTTTTTTACTGTGTCAAAACCGAATTGGTCCTTCTTCTTTTTTTTTTTCTTTTTTTTTTTTTTTTGTTTTGTTATACATCAAAACTCCTCCCCAGCCAAGTCATTCAATGGGGCTCCTTTCTGTGCCTGTCATCAGTGTTACTGAGTTTAAGTCCTGCACTGTCCTGTACCACAGTTAATTTCCATCATTCTCTCTCTGCTTCTGGATTTGTGTCCAGCTTAGAGCAAAATTTTCAAAAGGGACCTGCATGCCTTACATGTACCAGTAGTGAGCCAAAATATTTTCCTCAGTTGATATTTTTAAACAAGACTGATTATGTTTTGTTGGCCAGTATGGTTTTGTTGTTTTGGGTCTTTTTCCTACAAGTCAGTTTTCCTAACACCACATTGGCAGTAGAGGATCCTTGCTTGCCCTTTTGGATACTCTGAGGTAATATCTAATCGTCAATACTCAGCTCTTCATTCTGATTCTCTGAAAGACAAACGTTGGTATTCAAAAAATGTATGCATCTTATTCTACTTCCAAAGGCTTTTTATCAATCTTCTAATTTTCAACCTTCCCTTTCTTCTCTTAAAACTGTCTTATCTCTGTCCTCCCAAGAACTGTGGAACTGTTATATCAGATTTTCTTCCTCTGGTACCCCCTGACTCCCAGTGTCTTCTCTTTTTTGCAAGTCTGGGACATTTTCTTCATTCTAATTATTTCATTTTTAACCTTATCTTTTCCTTTCCTATTTACAATTCATGCTGTTATCTTTCTTTTGGGTTTTGTTGGCCTTTTTTTTTCACTTGCATTGCCTGTGGTGAACATAATATCAGTAGGACATGACATTCTTGAAATAGCTTCAACTGGGTTTTGACTTTTCCTTATTCTCAAAAACTCTGTACTTACATCTTTACAGATTTGCTTACTCAGTTCCATCCTCTTTTTCATTTTTGTCTCCTTGCCATAGTCCTCATATATTTTGTTTCCCATAGAAAGATATGCTCCTTTTTTTTTTTTCTGGCTGCAGAAACCTGTCAACCTTTCCAGTTTCATCAGCACTGTATCCTTTATTTTTCCTAAGGGCAAAAGTGAAGCTACGATTATTCTTTCAACTTCACTGCAATCTTTTTATCGTTCAGAGGGGGAGTACCTGTGAACACACAGGGATGAGCTAAAGTGAAAACAAAAAAGTATATGGATCTCAGTATAAGAAACCAAAGTAAACACTATTACCTTGCTTCACAGAACTGTAAGATTTACAAAAAAACAATTAGGTGTTAGGGTGGGTACCAGAACTCTCCTAAGCACTCCTGAAACATCTGCAAAATGGAGTGATCAATGTGCACACCTCAAGTGTGACCAACGTGCAATGCTTTGGCGAGGTGTTATTTATTCCTGTACAGAACAAGTTTGTTCCTTACACCATTTTAGTCAGTTCCCGGCTTCCAACCACGCTGACAGTGCTGTGCCATGAGTCACTTTTTTAATAGCTGCCTCATTTGCTCCCGACCTGAATAACGTTTTTATAGAGGTTTGTGTACCGTGTAACACCACCCGTGCTGGACCGCGCTTCGGAGGCCCGAGAGCCGTCCCACGCCACTCCCATGGCTTCGGAGCGAGCCCTGGAGAACCTCCGAACCACGAGGTGCCCGGAGGGGCAGCCCTGGGTCAGTTTATTCCTCTGGGGAATGAAAAGGGGATTAGCCCCCGAGAAGGCCGGTGGTGTCAGTATCCGGGCTGAGCACCGACCCGCACAGACCGCTCTGTGCCAGGCGGGAAATGGAGCTCCCTGAGCCACGGGGGAGCTTCGCCACCACCGGGACCGTCATCTCCTGTGACATCTTCACAGAACCACAGAACATCCTGAGTTGGAAGGAACTCACAAGGATCGCCGAGTCCAACCCTTAGCCCTGCACAGGGCAGCCCCAAGAATGTGCCTGAGAGCGTTCTACAAACGCTACTTGAACTGTCGAACTTGGTGCTGTGACCACTTCCCTGAGGAGCCCGTTACAGTGTCCAACCACGCTTTGGGTGAAGAACCTTTTCCTCATATCCAACCTAAAACTGCCGTGGCACAGCTTCATGACTAAGTTTGGGTCGATTCGCCCTCCCGTACGCAGCTCAGGCTGCGAAACCAACCTGGACCCCCACGGCCCCGCCAGCCTCGCTCCCCCCGGCGCTGTTCCCCACAGCGACCGCCGCCGATTCCACCGCAGTGGGGCGGGGCCTCCCCACCTGACCCCTCCCCCGCGCCTCCCGGCCCCGCCCACCTCGCTGGGATGGGGCGGGGCGTTGCGGAGCAAACTCGCGATGCGGCCTTTTCCATTGGCGGAAGCAGGTGCCCATCCTCACAGCGTGCCAATCAGCTGCCACGGATCGCAGCGGCCGCCAGACAGCGCTTGCCCCCTACCTGGAGCCACGGGCCGCCGAGGCTCTGGGCGCAGTCCCCGCCCCTTCTCCCCTCTCTACCAATCTCGTCCACCCAACCCGAACTCAGCAGCCAATCGAAACCTGAGCCGGTGCTGTCAATCACTGGCGTTTCCCCGCCCGCCCCCGCCCCCGGAGCCGGGAGCGGAGCGGAGGGGAGGGGGGCCTTCGCCGGCTGCGCACCGGTGCGGCGGGCGGGGCGTGAGGACGGGGGAGGGAGGGAGGGAAGAGGAGGAGGAGCTGCGGCTGACGCCGGCGGAGATTTCAGTACCTCGGAGAACGGCTGCGAGCTAGCCGGGCGGGCGGGAGCCGCCGCCGCCGCCGCCGCCCTCCGCTCCCCGCTCACCTGCCCCGCTCTGCTCCGCACCCGCCCCTCCCCGCCACAGGTCCCCCCGGCGCCGAAGGGAGCCCGGTCCCCCCGGAGCGGCCCCGGGAGGGAGCACGACAGCGGCACAGGCTCGGTGATCGGGACGGGCAGGGGGTGCGTCCCCGCGGGGACGGGACGGGTGTTCGGCCCGGGACGGCCAGGCTGGTGTAGGAGGTCGCTCGTTGCCATCGCTCGGTCCTCACGGAGCGGCGGCCGGGGCGGCGAGGAGAGCGAGGGGGCTCTCTGCCCACATCCCGCACCCTGCATCCCGCCGCGGGGCGGCCGCGCAGCCCCCGATCCGGAGCCCGAGGGGAGAGAGGAGCACCGAGGGCGGCAGCGGCTCCCGGCGTTTGCTGGGGTGGGCAGGGAAGCAGAGAGCGGGAGCCGCGGCAGCGGCTGGGAAGCGGGGATCCGCTTCTCCGAAACCCTGGGGGCGAAGGTTACCCCGGCTGAAAGGGGTCTTGAGGTGAAGGGGAGGTTGAATGTAGACGAATTTTGGCAGTTTTGTTGAAATAATCAAGTGCCGAGGGCAAATTTTAGGCAGATAAGATAGAGGGATGGATCCCGCTGATTTGGATGCCAGCTTGAATTTTTTATTTACTTCTCTGTTTTGACCACTGCTAAATGTGGATTTTGTGAGAGAACCCGATGGCGCTTGTTCCATTATTCCTTGTTTGAACGTAAATCTTAGTCCTGCTGCTTGTGGATTTTTTTTAAATTTATTTTTTAAAAGGACCTTTCCAAGTAGCTTTCACGTCTGACAAAATGAAGCCTTTGTATTTTTCAATCAATTATACCTAATATTGACGTCCTGTTTGGTACAAGAGACTTAAAGTGCTGCCTCACTCAGAGGACCATTAAAGACTTTCCTGGTCGCTACATGTAGCTGAATGTGTTACGACACATCCTTTCTCCCCCCCAAAATCTCCCGAAAGATTTTTCCAAAATGAAGAAATTTAATTTTCGCAAAGTTTTGGATGGTTTAACTGCCTCATCCCCCGGTGGAAGCAGTGGTGGTGGCAGTGGCAGTGGAAGTGGGGCTGGTGGTGGCTCCGTGCACCCAGGAGGGACTGCAGGAGCTGCAGGGACACCCAGAGAGGAGATCCAGGAGACGCTCACTTCAGATTATTTTCAAATTTGTAAGGTAAGGGCTGTATTTTTATTTTCTATGGAAATAATAAAAGCTGCGTTGAGTTGGAGGGGGGGGGGAACAGGAGGGCAGTAATCTGATACCAGTAAGCCTTTTACTTGAGAACTGCAGTGGTTGTATAAGGACTTTGGGATGAAAAGACAGATCTAGTGGATGCTTTTTTTCTTCCTGCTGCAGAGTTGGGGTGGTCAGTAAATTCATAGAAATCTTGATTTCTGCATTCAAGGCCAAATCCTAAGTTCACACTTGGATCCCAAACTGCTGACAAGATTGTGGGCAGGAAAGCAAATCAATTGGTGCTAGTACAGATAAAATAAGTGATTAGAAATTTTAAATTGTATATATCTACTTCCCCTTCTCACTCTTGTCATCCTCCGTGCCTTTTTTTTTTCTTTTAAGATAAAGGCACAAGCTAGAAATAAAAGACAGTGCACTGATTACTGAACATAAGACTTCAACTATTTGTGAGGGACTGGATGTACTTTCAGGATGGCTGTTTATCGTTACTACTAAAGATTATAATTGCATGACAGTAAACTTAGTGGGACAGCATGAATACCACAAGTTGCCAAATTTGTTTGGAATTGGTTTTCATGTTTTGGTCAGGTCCTTAAGTGAGAATTTTCTTTGAGTAGAAAGCGTAAGATATCCCTGCATGTTTTGTTTTGTATCTGTCTTCTGCAACAGAGCTTTCAGTGGTGCTCTTAAATGCACCAGTAAAGCAGTACAAACTATTTGGTACTTCTGACTAACTCTGAAATATAAAAATCATGTATTTGTAATGAAGAGCAAAAACAAAAGGAGATGATATATTATGGTCCTCTGCTGTTATCTTTAACTTCTATGTGAATTCTGTTGGCTTTACTGCAAGTTTTGTTTGCTTATTTGTTTTGATTAGAAGCTTCAAAACCAGAATTTTTAAGTAGTGCAATGTACATTATTAGGAGTAAATGGACTTCATCTATTAAGTATACTTTCCTTTTATTAACCAGATACCACTTGATTTGAAATTTAGGTTTTGGTCAACTCCCAGCACATTCTCATTTCTTTTTTGTGTTTTGCAAAGAAGAAAGCAATAGAAACAACCAAGACAAGCTGTAAGTTTGTGTGCAGAGCTAGTCCTTGTGAAACACACAGCTTCTCTCATCTCAGATACCATGTTTCTAATTCTGTTTGGCTTCCAGCTACAGCTAGTGTCAAAACTGCTACAGAGTTCAAGGGAAAAAGGATGAGCTCCTATGACTTAAAGACTCAGAGACTTCTGAAATAGGTTTTACATAATTCTATTTTTTTAGATACATAGTTTTTTATAGTTCTTTGCCATCCTGAAACAAAACAGGTTCAGGCCTATTAACTCAAGTTATTCTATAGTTTAACGGAGCATCAGTAATGAGTGCACACCTGCTTCCCAGAGTTGAATTGGACTCCTTTTGCTTATGGACAATAATAATTTAGCATTTTGTGAAACTCCAGGTATTCAGTACAGTGATTTCCTATTTTTGTCACTTAAGTAAAAAGATAATGCAAACAACCAAGATACATTAAAATATTATTAGAAGGTCTGACATTCTAAGACTTCTAAGTAAGGGTAAAGTCAACATGGTTCTTCATGTTTAAGTCATTTGATAGGGCCGAAGATCTATATTGAGTATGATATATTTTTATTTTGTATGACATTTGCAAAAATAAAAAAAACCATAAGATGAATTGAAATTATTTTTTGCCTAATCTCCATTATTTCTCTTCTTTGGCTTGATATTACCTGAAGACAGTTAGTATTATATTCTAATAGATCTACCTGGAAATAAATCTGATAGATCTACTTGGAAATAGATCTACTTAGTGTATAGGAATATGTCATTTGAAGAAGATTTCAGTAGGCTATATTTGCCTGCCTAAGCTCTCAGGTTGAAATGTTCTCAACAAAGTAAATATTTGTACAGGAAAGCTTTTGGTTGTTTGCAGCAGCTCTTGCTTATGAATGCATGCTACTGCAGAAGTCTATTGTATACGAAATACCAGCTTTGTTTTTTTTTTTTTAAAATACAAAGGTATGCCAAAAGCAAACTTCCAAAATACGAGGTGATTATGTGCTCCTAAAACACTGCAGTGTGTATTCAGTGGGCTCTACTCAATCAGCTCTGTTGCAGTTTAGTAACCTTATGAGGATGTTTGAATGAACCCACCAAACCTCGCAGGCCCCGATCCTGCGTTAGGCACTGTGCAAGTGCTCTGGAGGCAGTGGGACCTGACGCAGGCGCAGCTTTCACCCTCCCTGCTTCAGGGTGCAGGAGCCAAGCCATAATTTGTATCTCAATCACTTCAAATTAAATTAAAGACACAACAAGGCATACATAATCCGAATTCTGTCTTCCCCAAGCTTTTGTTGTATAGAACTTCTGATATTTCAATTGTGTATTTTCATGTTCAGTTACATAAGTTATACAGGCTGCATATTTAAGGATCCATGATCTGTGATCCTGCTGCACACAGAACTGAGTAAAGCTAATGGCAGTTTTGGTTTGTTATGATCTGCAGGATCAAGGCATGTGAGCTAACAGTCTAAGTAGCACCTCAGACTGGTTTTCCTTTCTTTTCTGATTATAAAAATCTTCATTTTAATGTGAAACATAAAAGCTGACTCATACTTAAGAATTAAAGGGCCTTACCCTGCAGTTTTTATGTAAATAAATTTCCTTTCTGAAGTTTGTGGGAGGTCTGCTTGACTGAAAGCACAGATCGAATCCTCTACCAGAAGACTTCCACTGGTAATACACCTGACTTCATTTGTAACACACCTGAAAACCATCTCTCCATTTTGTGACATTTTTAGGATGCTTATTACCACACTGTCTTCTTGAGATACAGATTAGAACTTAATAGAAGTAAACTGAATATTTCATTTTACACTGAGATGTTCACAATGAGTTACTTTTGGCATTTATATTTAACACATTAATGTAATCCTCTATGTTGAAAGAATGGAATATTTTTGAAACTATTGCATATGAAATAGCTATGGCCTGTTTTAAGCATAGTAAATTTAGATGTTGGTAGCTCTACTAATGAATCAATGGCACCATTTAAAAAGTATTCAAGCAATATGAAATTTTGTCATACCTATTTTGTGACAACAGGAAGCTGGGGTACAGTTTGTTATATTGAGGGGCTGCTCTTGGAATTTGGATATCCAAGTGGAAATCATGAAAGTATCAATTATAATTCACATTAATTGAATATGCAAGATAACAGCAGCATCCGAAATTTAGACGTGATCTAGTAGAATAT